GATTAATCAAATATTGTTTATTTTCAGTGTTACACATCATAATATATCTGTTGTCGTATAACATATAAGATATATCACTTGAAAAATTAGAATCTTGAAAATGAATAGGTCGAAATTGTAATATTTTTCTGTTTTCATTCCACCAATGACTATAGTTTGAAACCAAAATATCAGGTAGTTCTGTTTCAAAACAACTAGGAGGAATCAATTGAAACTTATCGTTTGTTTTTACGTACCGCTCATAGACTATCAATTGTCGGCTTCCATAATATTCATTATCGTAAGCGAATTCATAGTGAACATTTCCATCAGTATGATATCCATGTTTTGTAATATAACTATCTTCTGATTCAGCTGCTTGTACTTCAAAAATATGTTGACCAAATACACGACGAAATAAATCATCCGAAGTTACTCTATCGGGTAAAAAACCAATTGTCATCTTATTGACAAAAAATCTTCCTCTTAAACAATCAATCGATAGTTTTTTTGATTCATATTCACTATCATACCAACCGTCATATATATCTGTGCTTCTTTTCTTCCACTTATTATTCATTATACCTTTAGTTCGTACTACTGCCCAATGAATAGTACAAAATTTATTTAAACTTTCATAGGAAGTGTCTTGAAGAATTTTACTTATGATTGGATGAATCGATAATAGGACGTATTCACTATGACGCATTAAATTTCTCATAAATATACTCATATGAACTGTTGTTTTGTTTAAAATACTATTGTCATGAATAGTTGTTGCTATTGTCAATAAAGAAATAATATCTTGATTTGATAATATTAAAGTATTGCTACTATCAGTATATATTGAATATGTCAACAGATTGATAATACCAATAATGACAATTTTATTACGTAATGCATTCGTTTTATCAGAATCCGATGAAATTGAATTTTGAATAGTTTTCGAAATGAGTTCAATCCATTTTTCACCTATCATACGACATTTTAAAACTAAATTCGTCATTTGATCTTTTCGTGTTGAATTACATATAGTGAATATCCTCATGACAATTACTGTTATAATTACTAAAATCAATTCATTTTGCCAATTACATTCACAATCTTTTAAATGACGATTTAATCTCGTAATTAATTCATCAACAAAATGATCTTCTAATAATTGTTGATGTGATTCTGGACACCATGAAGAAATTAGTGATGTTCGATCTTTTGCCACTGGACCATATTGTAAAAGTGCATGTGTTATGAGTATAACAACACTTTCTTCGTCCATTGATAATGAATCTAATTCAAGAATACTTAAAAGATTCCACCATTGTAAACGATGACCAGAACGAAATGAGCCAAATTCAACAAATTCTGCTGACTTTAATTTCAGTGAACACTTTGATAATTCAGCTATGACTCGATTCTGTACAAATTTTGTGTTGTTAATAGAAAATTGTAAATCTTTGTAATTTGAATCTGTCAGTTGAGGTGTTAATGTTTGACATTCATCTTGAAAATTGATTATTCTAGTTGGAGATATTTGAACTTGCAGGCCATTATCGTAAAAATATTCTTCCATAGATGTTGACATGACATGTCGTGGAGCTGAATAATGACTTTCTGATATCGACTTAGTTTCAGATACCAATTTTACTTTACAGCTACGCGAACCTTTGAAGTATTGTCTCAGTTTGTTTTGATGAGGACGAGTACTTAACCATTCATACATATTATTAGAAGGATTTGATGTAGGACGATTAACAAATTGCCAAAGTATATCTCGATAACATCGAATTTCATTTGGCATTTGTAATTCAAACATAACGGCCAAAGCACTTCTTCGTTCGGACGGTATTGGACATTCGTAAATATCTACTTTGATATTATTTGCTTCTTTTATCATACTACATCGATCACATTTTCGGTAAAAAGTATCCTTTTCACATTCACACTTAAGATCATTGACTTTTTTCATCAGTTCTTCATATTTTTCTTTTGCATTATTTATTTCTTGAATTTTATCTTTCTTATCGTGTTCAATTTGTTCTTGAATCTTTTTCAGATTTTCATTGATTTCTACTGATTGTTCAGCAAAATGAACACCAAAAGCATTTTGCAAGTCAATATTACTTAAAAGGTCGGGATATGATTTATCATTAAATTCTAGAAAATAATCATACAAATCTCGAGCTCGAATCATATCGTCTCGATTGGGTAAGATTAAAAATTCAAATAGATCCATAAGATGAGGAATTTCAATGGCATGTGATTTCAGTCGTTCGAATCGAATATCTTCACATAGTTTTATGTGCATCAAACGAATTATTGTTAATGATGTTAGAATAAATCGACTATAACCCATTGGATCTGTTGATTTGTTCCCAGAATAATAAAAATCCAAAGCTTCATGTTGATAATCTTCATAAAAGGATTGCAAATTTTCAAAACATTTGTATCCATTTTCCAATAGTAATGAGCGATTGATCCATTGCTCTAAGCACGATTGCACCCAAATTTCAATACGTATCAATGCTATGCCCATAGCATCATCATTGTGATTTGTTAAGACTGAAACTCGAGGTAATCCATCGTCTTCATGAGCAACACTAGTTAATGACCAATGATTATAATCATAACTATCATAGAATTGTTTGTTTGAAGTACTGGAATGTTTTTTATTAAGATAAGCTTTTAATTTTTGACAAGAATGTTGAAAGATTTCTTTTTGATTTGGATTCAATTGAAGTTTTGTTATATTTTCTTTTTGATTTTTCTCAATGGACTTTTGCCAATCTAAATTAAGAGTAATACGATCAATTTTATGTTTGATTTCTTCTCTGATATTTTTCATCCATGGAGTTATATTGTTTGAATCAATTGTTGATAACAAATCATCAATTTTATTCAATCGTCGTACAATCTTTCGAAGACAATGCATAAGAAGATCAACCGATATGCGAGATCTTATTAATTTTTGTCTTGTAGAAATAAAATAAGTTAAAAAGTCAGTAATAAATAATTTATAAACGATAGTACCAATCTTTCCCAAACGTTTTGTGAAAATACTTTGAAAAACAACTTTCATAGTCATCCATAAACCTGATCGGCGAAAAGGCGATGCCGAATTCTTGTATCGGATTTGATCACGATGTTTTTTCTTAAATGAAATAGATGTATTAATTTGATTATCATTTTGAACGCCTTGAAATTGTATGATCCACCATTGGCACACATAATGTGATATGGGTACTTCTCGAGTTTCATCGAATGTGTAAGATGATTTGTAAGATTTTGAATATTCAATTGTATTCTTCATAAATTCCAAAAGTAATTCACAATGGACAGAAGATAATAGCTGTGATAAATCGGGTAAACGAAATACAGGAACAGGAAAACAAGAAAGATGCGGTTCTAGTGATGATGTTATGATTTCTGTTGGTAATAATACTTGCCAAGATGAGATCAATGGTTGATTGAGGGAATTTTCATCGATTTCAATCAAAATTGCAGCATTTTGAGCATGAAAATACAGAGAAAGAAAATCATTTGACGATAAGTTTTGTATGGTTGATTGTAAAAGTG